ATGACTCCAAGGCACTGGATTACCCTGGGCAAGTCACACTCTCTCAGCACAGATGGTAATGGAAACCCTCCCCTGGAGAAACTTGCCAAGAAAACCCCCATGATAGGGTCAAAATGACGGAAATGACTTGAGGGCACTGGATTACCCTGGTCAGGCCACACTCTCTCAGCCCCAAATGGTAATGGAAACCCTCCTCTGATGTAACTTGCCAAGCAAACCCCCATGATAGGGGTTGCCATAAGTTAGAAATGACTCAAAGGCACTGAATTATCCTGGGCAAGTCACACTCTCTCAGCCTCAGAGGATAACCATGGCAACTGTCTGAGGAAACTTGCCAAGAAAACCTCCATGATAAGGGTCGCCATAAATTAGAAATGACTCCAAGGCATTGGATTACCCTGGGCAAGTCACACTCTCTCAGCCCCAGATGGTAATGGAAACTCTCCTCTGGAGAAACTTGCCAAGCAAACCCTCATGATAGGGTCAAAATAAGCTGGAAATGAAGTCACTGGATTACCTTGGTCAGGCCACACTCTCTCAGCCCCAGATGGTGATGGAAACCCTCCTCTGGAGAAACTTGCCAAGCAAACCCCCATGATAGGGGGGAGAGAAATGTAAAACTCAGGGAGCAAGGGAGCAAGGGGGGGAAACAATGTAATAAAGGACGGTATCTGGCCTCCCTCTTTGTCCCTCTGCCTGCCCAAAAGTGCACATACTTTTATCAGAGGTGCAGCCATGCTCTTCAGCAACCTCCAATTAACATCCAACGATGAGGGAACTGAAGAAATGCGAGTCCGTCGCTCATATATATCCCCCAGTGTCTCACGGTCTGTCACCAAAATGCTTCCCCCTTGCTACCTGCTTCATGCACAAAGAGTTCCACGCCATTTTTCCATTTGCTCCAATAGCAGCTTTCCAGCGGAATGGCTAAGGCTGAGGAAAAAGAGCAGCCCCCCAATCAACAATGACCTCTTCCCAGAGGCTGCTCCAATTGGTTGAGCCCTCAAGAAGGGACATGGATTCCTCATAAGAGCAACTCTTACGAGGAAGCCATGCCCCTTCTCGAGGTCTCAACCAGTTGGAGCAGCCTCTGGGAGGAGGTTGTTGTTGATTGGTGAGCGGCTCTTTTTTCACTGACACTCGGCAAAAAACAAACAAACAAACAAACAAACAAAAAACAGTGGGCCACGGGCCAGATAAATGGCCTCGGCGGGCTGGGTATGGCCCATGGGCTGTAGTTTGAGGACTCCTGGCATACAGCATTTAACAGGGGGTTAAACCTGATGGCCCACAGGGCCCCTTTCAACACCATAATTTTTTTGAACAATCAGAGCTACTGGATCAGTTTGATGGTAGGGTTCAGTATCTTGGATATTTCCTTTAATGTTTAAATTAAAATCTGGAGTGGATTCAGCGTCCTACCAATATGGAAACCACCATATCTCACTGTTTGTGCTCTGTAAATCAGGATCTACCAATATATCTCAAACAATTTAATGGGGAGGACTGGCAGGTTTTTTTCTCCCCAGTGTTCCAGACCCACTATCATATTTGTACCTAATGGCTACAATTGTTTACTTTTCATTCTTGGAAACTTGCCAAGGACAGGCAGCTCTTGGCTTGTGGACCAACACTGGTCCAGGGATTATCCCTTCAAATAGGAATATACTATAGGGATATGAATAAGCCTTAGAGGGCTGTAAAAGCTATTGCAAGCCTTTTATGTTAGTGGGATGTTGTAAAAGTGTACTTTGAATACTCTAAACAAAATGTTGCACTCTACATGGGGCTACTGCACTCTACATGGGGCTACCCTCGTGCCTGGTTCGGAAATTACAGCT